TAATTATCCATTTTTTAAATTTCAATTTTATTTAGAAGTTTATTTCATTTTAGAGATAGATTTTATTTCGCATTTGTTATTGGTTTTTTTCATCCCATTTTCCTCATTTGGGTCGATGACGAGACCTCCGTAAACCGTTATTAAGTCAAACCATTGATAAATGACGTTGGATCTGAGACCATTTCTTTTCAACGCTTTTTCTCCTAAGACCTCGGTCCCGTACCGAGTGTATCTTCAAAAACATTGACAAACCATCTTCAAAATCCAATTATCTTTGTATTGAATTAAAAAGAGGGGATTAAGTGTAGACTTTCTTCCTCTCCGAGTGTTGGGATACCCACTATAGTGAGGGTGGTTTCGACACTCGTCTTTCAATACGAAGACGTTTCCCATCCATTTTCAAATCTCATCTCCTTAAAATCAATTCCTTGTATTGAATTAAAAAGAGAGGATTGGGTGTAGACCTCTTCTTCTTCGAGCTTTGGGATACCCACTGTAGTGAGGGTGGTTTCGACGCTCGTCTTTCAATACGAAGACATTTCCATACCATCTCTCCTAAAACCTCGGTCTCGTACCGAGTCATTTTTTCAAACCATAATAATTTGATTTCTCTTTGTATCGAATTAAAGAGAGAAGATTGGGTGTAGACCTCTTCTTCTCCGAGTGTTGGGATGCCCACTGTAGTGAGGGTGGTCTCGATACTCGTCTTTCGATACGAGGACGCGACTTTATCCACCATCTCGCTTTCACAACTTCCTTCCACAATTTTCACACCTAAAACTTCGGTCCTGTACCGAGTGCATTTTCAAATCATCTTCGTAACAAAACTTGAATGGTCGTGGAGTGGTTAGGCATAGGCCTTCTCCTATCCCGAGTGCTGACGTTTACCGTAGGGTTCTCTGTCGCAAAGCACTTACCATTCAAAACCAAAAAACATCTTTAATAAGAGAATGAAGTTCTCTTTGCATTGAATTAAAGAGAGAGGATTGGGTGTAGACCTCTTCTTCTCCGAGTGTTGGGATGCCCACTGTAGTGAGGGTGGTTTCGACGCTCGTCTTTCAATACGAAGACGCCTCGTTCGCCACACCTTTTTATAACAAAAACTTTGAGACAACGAATTGGGTACTACCCGTAGGGGTTACTATTCGAGGACATGTCTCGCCCCCCCTAAAAACAATCCAATCAATCAAACGTGACTTCTTGCCCCGCGTGGCGAAAACTAACCAATCTTTCAAAAGGATATGTTACGTCCGTTCTACCGCAAACAGGTAACGCCTAAGTCTCCAACGAGCGAGCAGCGAAACACCTAACTGCTAGAATGCGCACGATAGCATCATCCATAAAATACATCAACAAACCGTAGGCCGAACTACGACTGCTCTGATTCTTTACTTCGTTCAAGTAAGGATACGTAGGCACAAGGGCCACAATCCTTGCCGAGCACATTTCCCCCATATCTGTAGTTCCCCGAACTACGTCGACTCTGACTTTCTCACATCTATTGAGAATACGTAGGCATAGGACTGCGAAGTCCTACCGAGTCTGTTCTCTCTCCTTTCTTCCCCGTTATCCTCTCTTTCCTTTATTTTTATCCCTCTTTCTTTACCCTTTGGAAAACACTTTTATAGCATAAAATTTAAGCAAATAAATTCACACATCGACAAACAAAAGGTTCCCATCGAGTACGATGGATGCGAGGGGTGCTAATACCTTCCCCTTGCATAACCGGCTTCCGAACCCATTCTTGGTTGCGATACCATCTTATCCATTCTTTTCTTAAGGTTTTCTCGATATTTTCCTTTCCCCTAATGGGATAAATAAAGTTCGATGGCGACTCTTCTGTCCTTTCTTTTTCGCCTCCCCGTCGTTGCACGATGCATTTTTCGAGTAGCGACAATGATTCATTTCTATAGTTGAGATGTAAATCTCCTATTCCCCATATTATTAAGACTTTGACATTTTCCACGTTGATGTTGAGTGATAGTCTTGTTGATAATCCAAGCAAATCCTCCATCTTTATGTGACGCAGATGTTGTCTTAATACTCGTGGGTGGATAGTCGCAGTTTTCTCCTTGAAATGACGACTTGTCTTTACATCTAAAATCAATCAAAACCAATAAATTTTTGTCATTTGTACCATGAACTACGGGGTTTTGATCCCATATTACACTTTGTGGGTACGTAGGCATGAGGCGATAAGTCTCTCCAAACACAAAAATCTAAAAAAAATAATTCTCTTCTCATCTCCCCAATCTCTTTTCAAACAAACCATTTTCAAACCAAAAAACGTAAATATTTCAAAGGGCTCTTATAGAGTACTATAGACGTTTTGGGTGCTAACACATTCCCATTGCGTAACCAACCCCCTTACCCCGATCTCTGTTTCGTGTTCTTATTTTAGAACTCTTTGGTTTTGTTCGCTCTTTTTCCTTTCCTTTATTTGGATAAAATAAAAGTGTGGTGGCGACTCTTGTTTTCTTTGAGTTAAGTTAACCAATAACTTACACTCACGATTTTTACCGCTACACTCTTGATTTGATCTCATCATGACATCTTAGATGCTTCAAAATGACTTCCCATGGCTTCAATGGCTTAGAACCAAGTCTTGAACTCTCTCAAGTCCACAGTTGACTTTGGGTTGATCAGATGAAAACCCTAGTTCCATATCTTTTGACTATGGCTCTTGCAGATGAATTGAATGGTTGCACAAGCTCCATAATGACCCCTAAGGTACTCAATGAGCTTGTAGACCATGTCTTCTCTAAGATAAAGATCTCATGATCCCCTGTTGACTCTCTGGTGATCCCCAAGATAGGAGATGATATCCACACACCAACCTCTCCTTTCAAGGAGTTCAAACAACCTCATGGTGATGATGAACACTTGATGGCTTGCACAAATGCCCTTGCTTGAGCTTGAAACCAAAGAGACTCTCCTCTTGAATGACACAACAACCTCTTGATCCATTGTTAAGACCAATGCTATGCAAATGCAAATGCTAGAATGAAATGAAACATAAGTCAAGTAAGAAAAGGTTGGTAAAATTTGGGGGTACAACATCTTGCAACAAGCACATCATCTATCAATAGAGTCTTTCACCTCACGTGATTAGGACCCCTAAAACCATCACAAAATACCACCGTACAAGACTTCTCATCGTCGTGGGCAAATCCTACCCGTCATACATTTGTTATAAACCTACTAAGGTCTCGGAATCCTCCTGCCATTGCAGGAAAAACACACACCTAATATATATATATATATATATATATATATATATATATATATATATATATATATATATATATATATATATATGTATATATAATTATTAATATTAAATATATTATTATATTTACTTAATTAATTTTCTCCCTCCAAATGTTTTCACTCACTAATTACTTAAAGGTGTGTTTGGTTCGGGGTAGATAGAGGGGAGGAGAAATTTTTAATTAAATATGTTTGGTTCAAATCTTAGGAGGGGAGGGGAGCAAAATCCTTTCAAAACACACTTTTTGCTTCCCTCCGAATTGGGGGGATTTGGAGGGGAATGGAGGAAATATGAGTTTTGATATTTAAAAATTATTATATTTACTAAAATATACTCAGTTTAATTTCAGTATTTCAAAACTATTCATTTTCTTTCGTGTTATTACTTTTTCTCGATTGTTTTCATCAACTTATTATAATTGTTCTCCACCTTCAAATTATTTTATTATTTCTATTCTTAATATAAATCATAATCATTGTCTTTATTTTATAAAAAAAAATTATGTTTAGTTATATTCATTTTTTCTTTTAGTTTTGTTATGTATTCTATCATATTTTCTTTTTATATCAAATTGTAAACCATTCATTTTATTTATTTTTGTTTATTCATTTTATTAAATATTTTGAATCAATTAATATTTAATAATAAATTATTTTATATATTTGTTTTGTTATATGATTCATAACAATTTAAACGATGTTATTGGCATATAGTTTAATTTATGTTGAAAAGTTATAAGTCGAATCAATTGTACTCAATTTTTTAATTTCATGTGACAAATAAATACTTTTTTAATCACTCAATATTAGAAATTTTATTACCAACAAAAATACGCATGAATTTTTCACATTTTAATATCATATGACTTATATAAGATCATAAGGATAAAAATGTAAATTATTAATAAAACCCCTCGCCTCCCCTTCGGAACCAAACACATTTTTAATTAAAATCCCTATCTCTTGAAGCAAACACTTATCTGATTAAAAAAATTATTTCCCTCCCTTCTCCTTCATTAAAATAATAAAATATTGTAAAAAATATTTAATATCACATCACAATTCTCTACTTTTAAGCGTTTATTGTCATTTTTACTACCTAACTCTTTGGAGTAAAATAAAATACAATTCAGTTTACAAATCAAATAAAAGATAAATATTTATTGCTAATAAATAAAATTAAACAAGACATACACTTATAATTATTGTAAAATTGACACTAAAAATAAAGTTATCATAACATTTCATAGACAATAACTATAATATAAATTAATCAATATAAATAAGTTGTTTTTAAAAATAGTCCAAACATCAAATCAATTTATGAAAATGTATTTGTGTATTTTTTTTTTATCAAGATTTAATATTATAATATAGTATTTTATTAAACTCAAAAAAAGAAAGAAAATAAAAGACAAGAAGAAAGAAAAGAGAGCCAATACACAAAAAAAACACAACAAACCTACACACTTTGGTTTAGCCTTTGCTCTTTCTCTCTTCTCTCTCTTTTCCCCATTCCCTATTTGAGAATTGAGATTGAGATAGAATACATCAATTCAAACCCTCATTGAAAATTCATCATCTTTTTTCTCTCAATTTTCCACAACCTTTTTTTTCTTTAACCCTTTTTGCTATTATCACCAATCAATCATTCAATCAATCAATCACTCCCAAATCTTCATTGCCCACTATTTTTTTCTTCCAAAGTTTGCGACTTTCTTGTTTCTAAGATGAGTGGTAGTGGGTTTAGGGCTTCAATTCCAAACAGTGTGAAGAAGACGATCCAGAATATTAAGGAGATCACAGGTAATCATAGTGATGAGGATATCTATGCAATGCTTAAGGAATGTTCTATGGATCCCAATGAGACCACTCAGAAGCTCCTTCTTCAGGGTATGATTGCTTTTCTGCTTATTGAGTTACCCTGGATTTGATCTTGATATTACTACTTGTGATCCATGCGTTTTCTCATCTAGGTTTGATTTTGTTTACCTTTTTTTAGTAGGACCTTAAGATGTTTGCTAAAATGACTCCATAGTGTTGAATGTTGATACAGTTTGTTAGGGTAATATTTGAATTAAGTTTAATGCCTGATTAGGTTTCTGAGAGGTTTATGTAGCTTGGTTTAGTTAAAGTTTAGTTTTTGAGATGGAATTATGAATTTACTGACGGTTCGATTTATTTAGGTTATGGATTTGGCTCATTGGTTCATTCATGTTTAACTTTCATCTTTTGTTTTTTTATTAGTTTAATTAAGTAGTAACTTGAGCTGTTTCTGTTTTTAAGTCTTCTCAGTCACTGAATCTAGGTTCATTTGATACTTAGTTTTGTTTGATTGATGCTCTTATGTTTGCATGGAGTTTAGTAAGTTGGTTAATTAAACTAGGTTAAAAGTTTCCTTTTTCAAATGCATGTCTGAAATTTCAGAATTGTGTTTTTAGCTAATAACTGCTTATTAAGTAAAGACCGGAACTGATATTCATGCTTTGGTAGGATATCTAGTTTCTTATTCAGTTTTATGATTAGACGAAATCCCTTCTTGAAAAGTCTATTTGGAAATCTAAATCACACTTAAAACCGAATCTTTCAATGCTCAATAGGATCAGTGTTATCAAATTGCGGCGCCATGGCCGCTATGGCGGATATACAAGGCGTTTTTGGGCTCGCTGTAATGGTAAATATCGGCTGATAATGCAGGTTATTCCGCCATAATCCACAATAATGGCGCCGCAAAGCGGCCAATATGGCGGGATTTTGACTCTTTGCCATGGACCCCATCAACAACATTGAATAGGATTAATGCCATTGATGTGTTGCAGATTAAATGACCGCACACTTGTATTTCCTGTTTTTCTCTATGCTTAAGGATGGTTTGGAAATCACTTCTCATTTATTTTTTTCATTGATGGTCTTGGCTATGTCTTTATAGAATAATTTAGCTGCAGTTCTTGTTGGATTTCATCCACAGTTTATAAATATGTGGCAAAATTCAAAGCTTACAGTGGCAAAGTAGATAGGGTGTAATTGGCCAGTCCGGTTTGGTTATAGGGAGAGAAAAAACTCGAACCAGTAAAAAATGGCCAGTTAAGTTAAATCGGGACAGTTGTTTACGTGTCTTCCAAAGTTAACTAACATTTTTTAAATAAATTTAACGGTGGCAACTGTGAACACAACACAACAAAGACGAGCACAACCGTGGGACTGCACATTGCAAACACGTATGCCGTTCCAACCGAGGGAACACACTTTGGTGTACTCGGCTCTGTTTGTAGGCAACAGTTGTGGCATCTGATAGTAACTAAACATCGTCTAGACTAGAGTGCAAGTGGAACCCTAGATTTTATATTCGAGAATATATTATAAGATTTTTTGCAGTCTTTCAAATAGTGACAGTGATAACACTATTGTAAGTAAAATAAAAAAAATGATATAATAATACATTGATTTCATTTGAGTATCGGGCTATTGATTTTGAGTGTCATGAATTTAATACCCAAACAAATAGAGGTTGGGTTGGTTATGGTTTGATCCAAACCTGAATTATAATTCAACCAACTTAATTAGTTTGGAATGAGTTTTCTCATTGAACCAAACCAGCTTGCACCCCAAATAGTAGATAACAAAGCAAAGCTACATTAACAAAAAAAAAAAAAAGAGAACGGAATGAAATCACTTCAAACAATTTAACAGGACATATAGTTGATTCTCTGTTTTTGTTTTATCACTTCATACCTCTTAGAAATTGTGGTTAGGCCTAACTCAACCCTACAAACCGGCGTGTAAGATGAGGATTTTTCCGACATAAACCTATGTTTCGGCCATATATTGTTAGATATAGGACTCTTAACACCCCCTCACGCCCAACACTAATGGGCTTGGCGCGTGGATATTAAATGGTGGGTGGCTTTTAGTAGAAACCTGATATTCTTGAACGAGGCTCTGATATCAATTTAAAGTTGTGGTGGGGTCTAACTCAACCTTACAAAACCAACTTGCAAGGTGAGGATTTCCCCCACCTATAAGCATATGTCCAGGCCATATATTGTCCAATATGAGACTTTTAACAATGCAAATTGGAAGAAAGCAATTTAATAAAAAGTGGTTGATATAGTAGAGAAGAAAAATACATGAGTTCATGAAAAAAGCGATAAGGTTAACTAATTTATCTGAAGAATAGCAGTCAAAAATCATATTTAACACAGTAATTACAGACTCGGCTGAGTGATATCAACCCATTAGGCATGAATAGGAAGAGGTAGATCTTTTGAAAAAGAAGAAAATCAAGTGCCTAAACAACTTCTTTACAAAGCTGCATTTGACCTTACCGAATAGGTTGGAGGAAAAAAAGTTGCATGAAAAACAGATTTTCCTAGTAGGATGCAGTACCGAATGAAGGGCTGAAGGCTAGATCAAGGGTGAAGGAGCATCAAATTGATTCAAAATAAATTTGCTGACAAACCCTAAATTTGGATCTAAAAAGCAAGATGCTATGCTTGGTACTTGAAAAGTAGTTATTGATCTCTAAATTAGTTTTTGTGTGTGTTGATGGACGTTAATTGCAGCGCTACACGCCACAACAGTGAGAAGTGCTCTCCAACAAGCATTTGGTAATGGCCAAAGAGCAATGCTATGATGCCATTGCATGTAGTAGTATACTTGAGATTGTCTGATATTGTAAAAAAGCATTTGATTCCAATGGAATAATCTATTGGTGCATGAAGTTTGAATTTTGAAGACTTTCCGATATTTTGTGACATATTGATTAGAATCTTGCTAGTTTTTGTGTGTTTGGGAACAAAATGAGCCGTACGTTTAAGACCCTTTCCACCGTACGTTTAAGACCCTTTCCGCCGTGGTTTTTCTGAAGGTACAATTGTTAGCTTCTACATGCCGTGTGATGTTACCGTGATTTTTGAGAATGCCAAACATATGCTTCTTGCTAATTTGGTGAATTTAAATCATTGAGTTTTTGTTCCAAACTATTAGCTGTCAATTTTAACTTTTATGCACGGTCAGTTTATAGTTACCAATCTCAGATAGCGGAGCGGGCGGTTGATCCCAAAAATGAGATAGCGGGATAGCCACTATTTGACTATTTATTGGACTAATTATATGAATAACTATAAAACATATACTTAATGAAAAACTAAACAAATAACAATACCCATAAAAGATTCATAAAATCAATTGTCAAAGCACAAAGCTTAAACCAACTTGAACGGAGGAAGCTTTGCAGGTAGCGGTGTTGGGAGGGGAGGAATCAAACATGTGAGAAGAGGATGAGGTGGAAGCGACCAATGAGGATGAGTGAGAACTGAGAACATGATGAAGGTAGCTAACGAGTGAGAAAACATCAAGGAATATTCTGAGGGTTTGGGCAAAGCTGTGTGAAATGATGGAAATGGTCTTCCAACCTTAATTTTGTAAGGGTAAATAGTGCATTTTTGCTTCAAAACAGATAGCGGGTTGTAACCCACTCCGGGCCGGGCAGCACTTTGCTCTTGCGACCCACGACAAGGCCAATAGCGGTTGAGATCTCAAAATGAGACGTGATGTGCTATCACATAGCGGCCGGCCTCCGCGCCGCTCTCCCGGCATAGGGCTGCTATTCCCCGGGGTTGATAACTTTGGGTTAGTTTTACATGCACTTGAGTGGTCTTAGATCTGTGTTCGGATGCTTTTTCGGTAATCATTTTCATTTTCTTTTACTTGCTCTCTCCTTTTGAGTAATTGGTTGGAGCGTTGTGTTTCAAGCTGTCATCATATTTGCACATAAGGATCCATTATATTGCTATTTATGATGACATTTTGAAGCAACTTAGGCATTGTATTACAGGTTTCTGGGTTGTTGATTATAATATCTCATTCTTCTCTTTTTGAAGCCCATCATGAATGACTTTTATGGGCTCATTGGGTCTGAACTTCTAATTTAAACTTTAAATAAATTTATGATCTATTCTCTATTTTATCGTTCTTGCTACATTGGCGCCTAAACATAAATTACTTTTTTTACAGACACATTTCATGAGGTCAAAAGAAAGAGGGACAAAAGAAAGGAGGTAAGATATTTATTGTAAGTGATGAACTTCAATAATGTAATATTAATGGGTTCTCTTGGTTGATTATCCATTTTTTCTTTTGTAATTTTTGTTGACTAGGTTTTAATACTTGACAATATTTGACTAGGGACTTTTTAGGAGTTCTAAGAAGTCCTGCCCACTCGTTTGGTTTTGTGACACGGCTCTTATTAATTTCAACTTATGCTCTACCTATTTTCAAAATTTGTGCCAATCTCTCAATATAGTTTGTTAATTCAGTTCTTGTTTCTCCTTTATTTGTTAATGATTTTGCAGAATCTCAACAACAGAGAACATGTAGAACCACGCGGGAGACCTGTCACTCACGGACGGGGGCCTAGGGGTGGCCGGGGAAACTTTTCTTCTCATACTATATCTCATGGTGATTAACTATTCGGAACTACAACATGTTTGACTCTTTATTTATTTATTTATTTTATTCACTTTCCCCTATATTATATAAGCCCCTTCTTTTGTTGGATAAACCTGTTTTTTCTGTGAGAACTTTAGGCCGTTTATCTATCAAGCAATTATAGAAGTGGATAGATGAACATGATGTAGTAGTATCACCTAGGTGTCTTCTGTCTTGTTTTCAAACCAATGGTCTTGCATTGCAGCATATCTTTGAAGTTGTTACCCGGCTTTTTACATGTATACTTTGTAGCTTAGGTGAAAATGTGAAATATAACAGTTATAGCTGCATTCTAGTGTGGATTCTTACTCAAACTTAGATATTATGTTGGCTAGTCAAAGCACCTAAATTAATAATATGTTTATGGACCTTTTCTCAGATGCTAGTGGAAGAAAGACTTCTGTTACAGGCAAAGATAGTGGAGCTCGTCTACCTTCTGAGAAAATTATGCCACAACCATCAGCTTCTCAACAGATAATATCTAAAGGGAAAAGTTCCGGAACAAGGTGACTACTATATTGAGTAATTTGTCTTTGGCCCTGTTTGGATAAGTAGTTTAATCAAGTGCTTGTAGAATAAGAGCTTATCATATAAGTGCTTATGTATAAGTTATTTCTATAACAAAATATAAAATAAAATCAAACTATTTTCATATAAGCTCAAATATTTTTCACAAGTGCTTATGCCAATAGATAAGCTCAAATAAGTTATAATCCAAACAGGCCCTAGGTACCATTGTTGTCTTGTGTCTTTTATGTTACTGCAATGCTAATTTAAATCCTTCTACATGTTTAAAGTTCAAACTACATAACTAATTATCTATACATATCCTTTCTCAGCTCTGTGCCTATTACTGCCAATGGTCCTACAAATGTGGCTTCTGGAACTACAAGAAGTGCGAGTCCTTCCCCACCACCTGCTGGAAACAAAGACATATTGGTTCAAGCTTCTGTCAATAATAATAATAATAATAATGTGGATAGTGCTTCATCTTCTGATAAATCAAATCAAGTTGCAACAAGCGCTTCTGAAACTGGGCCGGCATCCTCATCGGCTCACTTCTCTTCTTCTGATCCAGTATTGGTTCCAACTGATAATTCATGGCTTCCTGGCGTTGTCGGTGCAATTAGATGCGAAGTGGGAAGCCAACACTCTCTTGGAGAATCAAATGCTGTTAACTCAGCTAAGAACAAACTAACTGCTGGTTAGTACGTTTGGCATTATCTTTCATTTATAGTTTCTTTTATTTTAAAGTTTTAAAACGTAATTGAAGAACAATATTTCCCTTCAATGGCAGCTTCTGAGACTGGTAGCCCTTCTGTGCAAGAAAAGATTCAAGGTAAATCCCCGAGAGTGGCAAAAAATTACGGCAATGAGACACCATCCCCATCAGCGTCGGTAACTCTCGGAAGCCCTTCAGTTAGTCGCCCGTCTTCTAATTACAATAACCAGTCTCAACAATTAAATGGCCCTCAGAAAGGTAATTTTCTGCAATTCAACCAACACAATTTTTGTCTCCTGCATAGCCCTAATCATTCTTCTCTTTCACAAGATTTATAATTAGTTTCTTTTTTTCAGCAGCTGTTTCTAATAAGGAATGGAAACCAAAGCCCACAAATACATATAATCAGAATTCTAGACCTGCTACTGCACCTGAGGCTCCTCCTGTATCAGCTGAAGCAACTAGACAGTTACAGTCTGCGTCTAGTGCCCTTGACACTGAAGAAGCTACTTCAAAACTTCAGGGAAAGCTGGAGAATTCGCATATTCCACAGCATCAGCATGTTATACTTCCAAATCATATCATAGTACCAGATTCTGAGAAGAACAAATTTTGCTTTGGAACTTTGGGAGTCAATTTTGGAGTTGATACAAGAAGCTGTGTTAGTGGACCAAATAGTGAAAAGAGTTCCAATTCCACGCCACATTCTGAAATTTCTCAGAATATTGAAGAAACTGTGGAGGAGCAGGATTCAAGGTTTGTAATGCTCAACTATATGCTTTAGGAATCTAGTTTGTGTAGGACTTAGAATCTCATTTTGATGAATTCCTATTAAAACTTGGGAAGAATATAAATATAGAAGTACTTTTTGCATGTTAATAGAGAGAATAAACAGTTTTAAACTTGATTTCTCATGGTTTTCCATTTTGTTCACCTAATGAATCATGTCTTTTTAACTCAACAGTCAAAATGGCGCGCTTACGTCTGATGTGGAAGATTATCCTGACCATCCACTCTCACCCACTAACACACCCGTGGATCTAGAATTGGGCGAGGTTGACGGGTCATCCAGTGCTATTCAGGAGTCTAATGAGTCTAAGCAAGACACTGCTTTGCCGTCCGAAGGTCATCAATATCCAGGCGTGCATATTTCTCCAAACTACAGTTATGGTTTTGTGCCCCCAATGTTGGGTCCTCAGCTCACACCATTTGACAATTCTGAGTCTCAGACACGTGATATTTCACGACTTCCAAGCTTTATTGTGAGTCCTGCTACTTATATGGTTTTTGTTCATATTTTAGTTTAGTTTGTTATGCATTTTTGTTGCGTAAAAAGTTAAGTGCATTTGTTATCTTACTATAGGTCCATCCACAGTTGGATCCAGCTGGTTATTATGCCCAGTTTTACAGACCAGGTACTGATAGTGATGGCCGTCTTTCTCCTTTTGCTTCTGCCGCAGCAACCACCAAGTACAACGGCAATATTACAGTGCTGCCTGCTCCAAATTCTCAATCTCCTCAAGAGGTTTGCATCAATACCATATAGTTTGAGTTGAAAATATGTTTGCTGCATTTACATTTGCCCTTTAAAAATTCATAAATTCTTGACTACTACAACAAGAAACTTCATGATTAATTTTAACACAAGTCTCAGTAAAGTTTTATATATTTCCATATTATAAATAACAACATCTAGTAAAATAATCATGTTCTATTTGCAGGGTATCTTGTCCACAGCAGGTCAAACCCCACTTACAACTCAAGCTGCAGGATTGATGCAAAGTACAATAGCCATTACTCAGCAGCCTGTCCCAGTCTTCCGGCCGAGTGCGGTTCATTTATCCCATTACCCACCAAACTACATTCCTTATGGTCACTACTTTTCACCATTCTATGTCCCACCTCCAGCAATCCACCAATTTTTGGGTAACGGTGCGTTCCCTCAACAACCTCAGGCCACCACTGTATATCCACCTCCCCCAACTGTGGCAGCTCCAGGAATCAAATATTCTCTTCCACAATTCAAACCTGGAACAAATCCAGCAAACACAACTCACCTTGTAATGCCAAACGCTTTTGGACTATATGCCTCCTCTCCAGCTGGTTATAATCATAACTCTGGAACGACTGCAGGGAATTCGAACTCTAATGATGATCTCGGTTCCTCCCAATTCAAGGAAAGTAATGTATACATCACTGGACAACAGGTTTGTAATGTTTGTTCCTTTTTGGCTCTAGTGTCATTAGTTTGGTAAAACAAAAACCTTGTATTTGAACGAACAAAGAAAACCAAGTTAACCGATTCACGTGTTGGAGTACAACAAAGGCTTTGTTTGGATAGTCAATGTAATTAAGTGCTTAGCATAAGTGCATATGTTATTTTTATAACAAAATTTAAAACAAAATCAAACTGTTTTCAATATAATATTTTCATAAGCTATCTTGGTGAGCTTACGGAAATAATCTATAAAAACAAGCTATGGACATTTCATAAGTTGTTTCCATAAACACTCCCAACATTTATGTCAAGAAATAAACTCTAACTAACCAATCCAAACATGCTCTAAGCTCAGCAGATTTCTGCTCCTTCAGGACAATTATGAAAAAGCACAGCCCATAAACTTTTCTGCTTTACTTGACTGTTTATATTTCGACTGCAGAGTGAAGCTTCAGCAGTGTGGGTGGCTGCACCTGGCCGAGACATGACAAATTTGCCCACTAGTTCATTCTACAACCTTCCTCCTCAAGGTCCGCACGTGACTTTTGCCCCAACTCAGGCTGGCCATGGCACTTTTGCAAGTATCTATCACCCCGCCCAAGCAGTGACAGCTGCAACAGTCCATCCACTGTTGCAGCAATCTCAAACAATAGCAGGAGCAGTTGACATGGTAGGACCGGGTGGAAATGTTTATCAGCAACCTCAACATGCACAGATCAATTGGCCAAGCAATTACTAGGCACTGCTTATATTAGACGATTGATTGAGTTATTTTTTGGGAAATTCCAAAATATAGTTGGATTTCCATGAGGAAAAAGATGTGGCGATTGGCTACATTTTGAGTGTAAAAAAGCTGGAAAATTTGCTGTTATAATCTTCTGATTGATTGGTTGGGTTGAGGACATAAAAGGTAGGACACATGTAACCGATTGATATTGACAAACGATTAGGTAGAAACAAACATATGCAGGCTTTCTCTTTTATTTTTACTCCTGCTATTGTGTTCTTAGCATTAATACCTTTTCATAGTTCTATTGAGGTCATTGAACTCTCCTATTAAGAATATTGTTGAGTGATGAGAAATGTCCATTCTTTGTTTTTAGTTTTGATTTTATAATAGGGTTTGGAAGGTTTTAGGTTGGTGGGGAAAGCTTTTTCTGTTGCCCCTTTGTCTTACCTGTAAAGTGAATTTTTTGATAGCAAGAAAATTATTTGGTGAAGTAAAATGTCTGTCCAATGCTTTAAGTTAAAGTATGCATCCGTTCATATTGCATGTCATGGTTTACAGATTAGGAATTAGGAGCACTTGTGCAATTGCATGTCATGGTTTACAGATTAGGAATTAGGAGCACTTGTGCAATCAATTCTTATTGTCCATCAATCCCTGGAATATTATTGTTCAAGATAGTGTTTGAGAAAATGTGTGATCATGCTATTCTAGCAACCCAGAATGCATCTACACTATGCATGTGCTATCTCTTCATAAATTGTCATTCTCTTGGTCTAAAAGTATGAGATGAGATTACAATGAATTAAGTAGTTACAATTTTATTTAACTTTACTACTTAGGTTTTTAGGTTTTTCTAGTTAGAACTTGTAAAGTGAATTTGATTTGATTTAAGTTTTACAAATGTGCATGAAGATGATAATTTGACTCTTCCTTATTAGACATTTGCAAAATTATTCATATTAGATCGGGTAAAAATTCACAAAAATGGTTAAAAACATGGTCTAGGGTAATTATTCAAGAAAACATGCGGATATGTGTATAGATATTGGACACCTTATTATTTCATCAAGTCTCATATCCACGTAATATATATTTATATGTTTTAATTTGTATTATTATATAAACAATTATGTCTATCATTTAAAAGAAAATAAAAAAATAGCAAAGTTAAACTATTACATATTTAATGTGTTTATTTATTTCACAATTCAATAATAAGTTTTTTGAAAATTCTTTAATGCTCTTAAAAATAGAAAATAATATGATATTTTATAATTAATCTAATTTTATTAGAAATGCGGGTAATAAATTTGAGTATGGGTAATTACATACCCATAAGGTCATATATAGGTGCTAACATTGGCGTCCAAGCATTGATGAGCTCAGGTACACAATTTTTGAGCTCAGGTACACAATTTTTTTTCAATAGTGGGTATGAAGATGAATATTATAGTTTCTTGTCCAAACTTGTCCATGGTTGTCCCTAATTCAGTATCCAGAAGAATTAAATGTTATACCATTATATTTGACACATAACTGACTTATATTAAATAAATTGTGCTTTAACCCTTCAACCAAAAAAATTTCTCCAATCATTGAACTGTGGAACTTATCGAAAGTACCAAAACCTAAAACCTTTTCATTATTGTTGTCATCATAATAGACAAAATCTTTCTTCTTAAGAGTGAAGGATGAGAAAAGAGTTTCATTATCGGTCATATGCTTTGAACAATCACTATCAAGATATTATTTAGTGTTTAAAACTTTAAAGGATTTATGCATCAAGAACTCAAGTCTTAACTTTAAGTACCCAAACCATTTTGGATCATTTACTATTAGTTCCATGAATAATTTCACCATTGGATTTTATATTGAGATTATAAAATATGATGAAACAAATATACTTTTCATTTTGCGCTCACAATGCTCTTTTTATAAAAAATATAAAAGAGGATGCCCTTGGTTTTTCTCATGACTCTTTTTAATAAAACAGAACATAACAATATGCCCATCTTTATTACAATAATTGTATTTTAAGGTTTTGCAATGAAATGTAGATTGAGTATCACAAATATTACTAAAGTTTTTACTATTACTCTTGGGATCATAGTAAAAAACGACCTTATTCTAGCAAGTTCTTTAGTTTTCTAACAAAAGATTCAAGTTATATTTTCTTTTAGTGAACGTGTCAATTTTTTTTTTTTGAAAATTACCAATTTTATTTTTCAAAATATCATATTTATTGCACTTGACAAATTCATCTAATACTTTGTTAGAAGGGGAAAAATTTTGTATTAGATTATTTTGTCTTTTTAAGATTTTCTATTTCTTCCAATAAATTTTTATTTTTCAATTGAAGGGAAGAAATAATATCCTTGGAGGCAAGAGACAATTTGTTCTAATTTACTTGTTTCCTTTTTTAAAAAAAAATATTTTTCAAATGCGGAAAAAATCTTGATAAGAAAAGTAAGAGGTTGCCTCATGATCTTGATGATCTACCATGAGACAGATGTTGACTTATTCATCATCTGAGGACTCCACGTTATTGTCATCCCATGCGATGTAAACTTTCAGGAATTTTTTGTTAAGGTTTCTTAGATATTTTTTTTGCCTTTTTGTTTAGTGGAAAATATTTTATTCTGCTTATTGTTGAGTTGTTATTGAACTAATTGTTTTATTTTAATTAAAGCAATTTTTATTTTTAAGACCATGAAGAGATGTTATTAAATATTTTAAATTCCATTGTGATATGTTAAATGATGAAAGATGTTTATGTTGAGAATGTGTGGCACCCTTTGGTGAAAAATATACTCTGATTATGTTATAAAATGTGCTTGGAGGATTTTCGAACATAACGCGACACTAATGTGTCTGGCGGATAAATAATTGCAAGTATATAGTTGTTCATTTAGTCTTAAAAAGGTTGTCGAACCCACAGGAAAATGATAGTCAAACTAATGTTATCTATCGTTGCAGTGCAAAGTTAAGGCTAGTGATCAACAAATTACGAACGGGAAGAAAAAGACTAATTTCTAAAGATTTGAAAATAATGACGAAATGAGTCCGGAATATGGATCCCGCGTGCCTAAGGGACTTGTAGAAATTGGGTGCTAATTACGACTGAACTCAGCTCCGTAGAAAATATCAACTTAAAGACTCCATCTCACACTCTCGTGCTATTGACAAGAACCACACTTTCTAACCATAGGATTTTGCTCTCACTCACTTGTTTTAATTAAAAAGCATGTTTTGAAAGTCAATGAAATTCTAAACGATGCCTAAAGCGCTCTCAATTTTTTTAGGACTGATGCCTAGTTTTCACTATCCAGTTCATTTCTCACACTCTCGTGCTATCGGCCTGAACTTTAGTTTATTCCTCACTCTCGTGCCGAAATAATAAATCATGCAATTTGAAAACTGAAACCAAAACTATCATACAATCATAAGTTTGCACCTAAAGTTTTCTACTGAGTCCCGTCGGTAACGATGGTCCTCATACGCCGGTCTCAATTAAATTTAGCCAGACATAATATTAACTACAACTAACATATTCATACATACCAAATTTAAAGTTATCATGTTAAACAATAATTAAAAGCAATAATAAGTAAAAACAAGAAATGATAAAAACCTGTAAATTAAATAACATAAACTTGTACTGAATATGCCGGTAGGTTTTGTTTGCGATCCAAGAGTACAGTATAGCAAATGGAAAAGTAAAAGAAAGTAAACAAGTGCGATAATCCCTTGATGTGAGTTATTGTCACTTTTACAAGTGAATTTTTGCCTAAGAACTAATCAGAACTTCTGCAGCGCTTCCGCACATCTTGGATGTCCCATAATGTTCCCCATAGGTCCTATATATAGAGAAAATAAGGCCTTACAACTGCTCTGTTCGTGTATGTGAGTGGAGGGAAGAAGGAAGTTAACAAAAAATGCCTAAAAATTGATGCTGAAGCAAAACTGCATTCTGCGCACTAATGACGAACGCCATTAGGGCATGGCGAACGTCATTGCCTTCTTCTTTTTAATTGACGTGACATGTTTGAAGATGGAGAACGCCATATCAGCAACAGAGGCATAAATGCTTCTTTTGCTATTCTCTCACTCTTTTTCTGGTTTGCTTTCGAATCTGCAACAGATGAACCAGATATCTGCAAAACACAATAAAACAAAGTAAAATGCAATAAGACTCGATAAAATATGGTCAAATAATATGCGCAATGATACTAAAAACATGATACAATTTCTCGTTATCAAACTTTCCCACACTTAGACATTTGCTTGTCCTCAAGCAAACTCCCAATGCAAATGAAAAACAATAAGCATAACGTCTGAAACATAGGCAAAACATCACTCTAAAACGTACGCGGCTGCCAGGCTAATGCTAAACAGATAGGTACTAAATAAAGATAACAAGGAAAAAAACCGTACATTTCGGACAAAGATTTCCCACTATGCAATACCAATCTAAATCATGCCATTGTGGCTCGACCTACATTCTTCGTTCCTTTTCACCTATTTTTCATTCTCGCACGATCATATTAAGCCCATTATCTCCGCACTTACATGGTAAGTGAACCTGTTAGTGTTTATGATCTTGTATTCAATTTTCACATTTTTTCTTCTTTTTTTCTTTTTGAAATTCAAGAATCCGATCCGTTGGGCTAAATGGTCGGGTGAGGACCACCTAACTTAGAGGGAACATATCCTTTCATTCGTTTTTTCTACAAAACTATCCAATTCAATTTTTCGAGATCAAACACATATTTGCATCAGTTCATTACTTAGTGTGTGCCTTAGGATGATGCTGACCGCTAGTATAAACTACTCAAGAGGCTAATACAAAAACTCGAAAATCAAGGTCTCGACACAATGGTTATTTAAATCGATGTCGCATACTTAGGGAATCTAGGGTGTTAGGATGGTATCGATATTATCAAAAATTTCCCAAGTCTACTTAACATAGCCTAGATATGAAAAACAACCTATAATCTAGGAGTATCATG